CGCTGTGCGTGTGGTAGTGAGCCTCCCCCGGGGCGGGCCGTGCCGCCTCAGCCTGCCCCTCGCTGACAGGGGCGAGGACGAGTCCCCTGCGGCCGCGAAGTCCGGTCTCTCGTTAAGGCGAAGAGACGCTAAGCCCGCGCTCCCGTGTTTGGGCTGATGTAAATACAAACGCTTTTCCTCTTATGGGTTTGATTAATTTTCTGTCCTGGCGTTACTTCGTGCAGAGGTAGTGCGGTCGCTAATGCTTTAGCTCCTGGCCGTTTCTATGTAGCGTGTGACTCTCGTAATGGCCTTTAGATGTCAAGAGCTGAAATTTTAAAATAGATAACCCTGAGGAAAATAAGTGCTTTTACTTTTCTATTCCTAGTTATTCAATGTCCAGCTTTAGTCTTTCTGTATCACTTTAAGTAATTTCAGTTGTCTTGAACATGCTGGGCAGGGGTGTGTAGAGGCTTCAGGTGGGTCTTGGAGGAATTGGGGCCTTGTGGGTGTAGTCAGGGCCCCAACCTGAGGAGAACAAATGAATTGAGGTTACAACAATCTTTTCGGTTTCCTCTTTTTAAAGAAAAAAAACGGTTGTTTGCAGTCTATAAGCTTTTTACATGCTATAAGACAACAAAAAGGCAAACAGATTGTCCCTTCTTACACAATACAGTTTGTGATCGTTACCTGTAAAACCAGCATAGCTGTAGAGCTTGCAGACTGCTCTGAAAGTCAGATCCTTGCAAGAAGTTTAAAAACTCTGATTCCGTTCCATTTTATTAGAGCCAATAGGGAAAAAAAGAATGGATTTAGGATTATTGCCTTGTATATGTTTTGTAGACCCCTTTAGTTGGGGTCAATGTTTAGATGCTAAGATCATCTTAAGAAGGTAACACATGTGAAGGTGCTAACAATATGTAGATATAAATTTAATCATGTAAAGGAGAAAAATATGAGAAAGCTTCAACTTTTGAGTTGAAAACAGGTGGATGTTTGTCTGTTAAAAGGGGTTGGAAGTATTGTTTTATTTTCTGGCTCAGGACAAGTTGTTCTTTATAGATGGAAGTTGTTATGAGGGCAAGTTTGTCAATGGAGAGATTATGGGGAATAGGTTTCAATACTGGGCATTGACAACTGAACCTGTAACTACTACATACCCTTTAAAAAAAAAAAAATCCCAGTCCCATTAAATTCTGGTTTATAAGTACATACCATAAATAGCCAAACTCATTTAGTTCAAGTAGCCAATCTTCCATGGTGTTTATTGAAGAATTGTGTTTTTCAGATTTTATAGTTGGCCTCTCAGTTTAGGCTGGGTTAACTTTCAGTCATCTCAGAAAGTTAATCAAATGTGTTAATGGTAGAAACCATGTATCATCAGTTTTTGATAACACTCTCAGTCCTTCAAAGATGCACACTTATGCAGACTTGTGCTCATACGAAGTGCTCCACAGATCAGGCCAAAGATGTTAAAGGATTTAAAGAACCTGAATAAACTTTCCATTATGGAGGGACATATCACACATGATTCACCAAGGAAACGTTTCTATGAATTCATCTCTCCTAGCGTCCTGAGCAGAAGGAGTTTTGTTGATTAAAGATCAGTCCCAGTAAGTTGCTCCAGAAAAGAGTATCTCCTGTTTTTGTTTATTCCTGTACAGGTGAGTCGGTGACTTCTCCGCCTGCCGAACCCCTTTAGTCAACAGTCTGTAAGGCTGACAGAAAATAAAGGGTGACCACATGGAATATCGTGTAAGTAAGTCAGGTAAATACTTGACAGAAAACTATTTTTCTGTCATTATTCTAAGATCACAAATACATCAGGGATTTCACAGTGCAGTACTTCTAGTGCAAAGCAGCTGATTTATCGGGCTTTGGCACAGAATATTTGAATGAGTACATGCCATCGAAAAGCTGTTGAGGCGACTATAAAATTCAAGAACTTTTTTCATACCTTCCTTAACCATAAAAGAACATACTGTGAATCTTTTCTTTTTAACACAGCACCATCACTTTTAGAGACCAGAAGGATTATGATTCATTAGTTTTAAAATAAAGACTGAATGAACACACTTACAGTCTTCACTAGACAGCGTTAACAGTAAAAGAAAGGTAGCTGCTAATTATAAACTTCCAGGCTTTTAGAGTGTCTTCTATTTGGGCTCCATAAGTAAGATATCACTTACTGGTGAACTGTAAATATATTAAAAAAAATTAAACTGTATTTTACAGATCTGTTGTTTCTGTGTTTAACTTTCTCATATATTTGGTTCAAGGGAACACTTATTCTGGTCAGTTTGTGTTTGGAAAGCTCTGTGGATGCAAAGTATTGCAATGTAAAGATGGTAGGAAATATGAAGGAGAGCTCTTCTATGGAATGAGAGAAGGTAACTTAGACTTTTTGAGTCAGCTTTGTTTAAAATTCACTCTGTCAAGACTGAACAGATCTGTTTATGCTGCATAAATACAATTATCTCATGATGTCATTTTTCAAAGATTGCTTAGGTCTACTGAAAGCCAGGAAACTAAGCTCTTGTTCTCGCTTTATATTGACTTAATCAGTGAGAATTATTTTTTGTTTCAAAAATAAAAGCTATAAAATGCTGAGTAATCTTTTATTAGTAAAATTGAGAGATGGAAAAAAAGCTGTTACTGGCTATAATCTGCAATGAAAAAGGCCTTACTGGTAAGATGTTAAAATTCAGGAAAAAGCTGGCACTGTCACAATTATACAAATAGTTTAGTAACATAGCATGGGAAGTGGAACTGTTGACTTAAATGAATTGCCTCTATGCAATTGATTAGTTTTCAAACACAATGGGTTGTTAACCAGGATAAGTTTTATGTCCAGCTCTTACTTCTAGTCACTTTTTCATATTTGAGAATTAAATATATATTAAAATATTTTTAAATGAAAAAGGTTACAGGTGAATTCTAGGACTCTCGTACTTTGGCTAAATTCAGAGATGGTACAGCTTGGTGGCTGAATTGCACTGCGCCATTTCACTGGTTGCTTGAAATTAGGGGAAAGGACCGCAAGAGCGTGGACTAGATTTGACTGCCACTGCTTGTTATTGGCTCACTTCGACAGTCTGGTGTATCAGGTCACCAAATCTGTTTTCCTTTAAGAATTTCTTACTTGTTTTTCACTATTTTGGGAATGAGGATAATTATGAAGGAGCCTGGATTCCAGACAAGTATCAAAAGTCATGGAATGTTGCCTTGTGCTGTTGGAACAGTGTTATGAGGTGTTTAAAGACTTATGAGAAACTGTACCAGTTTGTTTGGAAAAGCTCAAAGGATCATGGTAGAAGATGCTTCATGCAGATAAACAGAAGTCTGTGTTTAGAATTAGTACTGTTGGTCCTTTCAACAGATTCAGTCCCCATTTTTAATTGAGTAACACATGAAGAGATTTCAAATTCGATTTTTTTAACATATTCTAATAGTATTTTGTATAGTTGAACTTCAGATTCAATTTCAGTTTGACTTTTCTTGGATATGTAGACTACTTAAGAGTTTTCTTGTGATTATTATTTGGAGTATTCCTTATTTGTAAAACAGGAGTAAACATAGTGATATGGGGGAAAATGTATGAGTACATATGTATAAGCACATATGAATACTTGTACTCAGGGACACCTACTTCAAGGTAGAAAGATCAGGGAATATATTTTCTTTGTGAACTAAACAACAGGATAAGGTGTGCTGTGGATTATTTTCCAGTAATTCAGTGAGATGACCTTGAGGCCTGGGACTTAAGGTCCAAATGGGGTTGTAGCATGTAAATGAATTACTGCATGACAAATCAAGAATAGGATTCTGTCATTGCAATCGCAGTGTGTGAGGGTTAAAGAAAAATCTGAAATTTTGAGAAACAAAATGAGATCAAATCTGTGCTTGTCTTGGGAACTTTTTTTTTAATTGACATCATTTCTCTGGTAAGTGTTTGGAGAGAGAGATTCTTTGAAGAATTAGCATTTTATACTCTGGTAGTAACTTTAGAACTTGAAAACAGTAACTTTTAATTGTTGCATAAATATTAAGATTTGGAACAGGCACTTCATAAACTATTTCATTACACAGTTACAATAAAGTTCAGAAACCCAGTACCAATTTTACTGTTTCAGTCTTTTTCTCTCTGACTTTGATCCTCATTCAGTTTTCTTTGTTGTTGAAAAGAAGGGGTCTCCCTAGGTTTAGTGGAAATTCAGAGCAGTACATATTTGGA